AACTATTTAATAAAAATTGCGAAAGATATTTCAGAAACAAATTTTTCTTAACTAAACAAACGATTATATTTCGCACGCTGTAACAGTGCGTGACATGGAATTCGTGATATATAATTTATAGGTATTTTCCGATTCATATGCATTTTAGGATTAATGAAAACAAAAAATTAATTAAAATATGTAGGGGAGAGGGGGGCACCTTTGAACGTGGGGCACCTTTGAACAGCGCTCATAAAATCTTGGTTTAATATTTTTCCGACCCGCAACCACATTTTTGTGTATGGCAATCTTGTTCTCTATATGCGTAAACCACTTTGGCTTGCTTTTTCAGTTGTCGAAAAATTGTGCATGGGTGACCATGTTTTCTCAGTGTCATTGTAAACTTTTATTCATTTGGTTGTAAAGGCGCAGGAAGAATTCTGTGATAGTTTTCCTTCGTCAAACAAATTTTTTGCATTCCAACAATCATTTCAAACATAACTAATGTAATTTCTTTCATATATATTTATTACAAAAAAAGTTATTTTAAATTTCCGTAAAATGCCATGGGTGAACATGCCCATTAAACTCGAGTAAAAAAAGGAGTTTTTAACTTTTGGCTTCGATTTCTCAAAATTTCATATGGGCTAATAAGATTACGAAATTAACTGTATTTTTCACCATATTAATTTTTGTTTTTAAGTCATTTTATGTTTTAATAACATTTGATCTAAATTTTATAAATATTGAACATTTTTATACATTTTTTAATGAATTCATGCATTTCTGATATGTATGAATAAAATACATACATATTTGAACATAAACACTGTAAAAAACCATGTCGTTCAAAAATGCCAACCCCTGTTCAAAGCTGCCCCCTGGGGGGCAGTTTTGAACACTTTGAGTTCGTCCATTAAAACAGTAATAAAATATATTTATAAAGCTTATAGTATGTCATATGTATATTCATTTTAAAGGTTACATATGTACCTATTAGTTAAAATTTATAAGAAACCAAAAATTATAAAATAAAAAAAGTTATAAGGCTTGAAAGCAAAAAGTGTTCAAAGGTGCCCCCTCTCCTCTATACATTATTTCCATCGGTTTTAGTATGATTACACTGCAGTGAAAAAATGTTGATCCATTTCTCGGAAATTCATAAACTATGATATCCGGCCTGCAGCATCATACCCATTGCTGCATTACATAATAATTTTGGAAATTTCCAGCAATTTATGAATATTGATTTCATTAGGCGGATTAGTTTTAATTGTTTTTATTTTTTGTTTGTTTTAAAATTATGTAATGCTTTGTGATTTAGTTTATTTATTGAAAGTATTATAATTTTATAATAAGAATTGTACATAATACGTCTAATTTTGATTGTGCTTGCGGAGAAGTAAAATATATTTAAAATTCTGCCGAATGCCTGTAAATGGCAAAACAAGAAATGATTTTTCTGGGAACTTACATATATTTTGAATTCTGTCAAATTATTATCCAATATTGACAATTATCTGCGACAAGAAGCTACTGCCGCCACCTCGTATGAACAATTTGACTAGGATATTTAAAATGTAATTTCTTTAAAATATCTCATATTACAGCCTCTTCGTTTCGAAAATGCGTTTAGGACCGTTAATGAACGTAAAACCGGTTTGGAGGTCATCTTCGGAGAACCCAAAATACCAAATTATAACTACTTCGTATGGCGAATGCGTTTATAACCTACGAAAAATTTTCTACCAGGATTTTTTTTGTTCTCTTTACTTCGTGGGAAAAAATTCATTAATATACTTAAAGTAGGGTGCCACCTTTATATGCAGATCCCTAAAAAATACTTTTTTAAGATATCCATATATGTGTTACATATATATGTTACATAATATGTCGACGACAATTCGTTAATTGTCGCTATTACCAAAAAAACCTTTTTCCTACATCAACCAATAGATCCATTGAACCAATCAATTGTCCACGGTATCGAAACAATTCGAGAGTGAAGCTTGTCATTCATGTGCATCCCAATAGAAATTTAATCGGATTTATTGATTGCATCTTCTCCATACTCAGTTTGTGGACAATTGTAAATGTGTTTGTTCTTCTTCTTCCTCCTCTTGCTCCTTTGCCAGATATTTAGACAAGCTACGAATGTCTCGTAGCCATGCTGAAATTTTCGTCCCAACGATTTTAATGTTCAGCTGTCACAATAATTGCAATTGGTTGGTTCAATGGATGGGAACTACTAAATTTTTTTTTGTTCTGAGCCCCCGAAAAATCAAGTTCTCTTTACTTCGTGTGAAAAAAAATCATTAATATACCTAAAGTAGGGTGTCACCTTTATATGCAGATCGGACATAAATTGAATATTTAATATATTTACCCCGAAACGGCTAACAACAGCCATACAGGTTGGAAAGAGGTCATGGTCCTTTTAAGTACTTATAATTTGGTGGGTCCTGCATGTGGAAGCTATGTGACAATGTGAGTTTATACTGTACATATCCTACTAATAAGTAATACCATCTGAAAACATGTTGGAAAATGTGGTTTATAATTTTATAATACCTAAAATATGGAAGACCCGACATATGGGTCTAACATGGAATGATACTGAAAAAAATTCTGTATTTATATCCTATATAACTATGTTGTAAGGGTATTATAGCTTTGTGCAGCCCCAAGAGTTTGTAACGCCACGAAATATTGGTCCTAGACCCACCTTTAAGTATACCGATGGTCATGTCTCGACTAGCTGAATGGATATTGTGTCCGTCCGTTTCTCCATTATAATTTGTAAACACGCTATACAGTTATGGACCAATCTTCACGAAATTTTGCATGTAGGATGGGTTCGGCCCAATGAAGACCCCTATTGTTTTTGGTAAAGATCAGTTAATATTTAGGGGATGAAATGTAGCAAATACTTAATTTTTGTCGGTTTTTCTGGTCGCTCCAGAGGCGGCAATTATAACCCACACATGTCGAATTTTTACATGGAGAAGGCGACTGGGCCAAATAATAAGCATGCCTGTTTTGATAAAGTCGGTTAATATTTAGCGGGTCAAATGGACCCTGACTTTTGTGTGAAAAATGACAAAATTTGTATTCTATAGCGTATATATTTACTCCTGACCAAGGGGAGTGGTTTACCTTTAAATTGATACCAATTATATTGTCGTATGTACTCGAAAGCGGGAGTTACACTTAAATATTTACAGGTGCTTACGAATTCATATATTATTTAGTAATCCATTACCACACTAACGCCGATAATTTTGTGTGATGGTCAGATAATAATATTGGGATGAAATGGACCGAAAACTTATTTTTTTTTGTTTTTTTTTTTCGAGTCGGTCTATAGGCCACTATTGAAATCCGAACATCACAACAGAACCCACGGTGAAGGGAATCTGGACAAATAATTAGAAAGGACGAATTGAATTTTAGTAATATTTGTTGATCTCTAGTCGGTCAAGAGGGTGCAAATATCGCGAAATATTGCGCATGCTCAGAACATAGAACCACAGAATGTTAGATTTTCGCGGAAGTTGTGTAAGGTATCATATGGTCGGCACCGTCCGACTATACTGCTCCGCTCACTGTTTTTTTGTTATTTTCCGAGAACACGAAATATCCGTCCATCTGTCCAAATTGTAGACAAAGTACAGACCTAAGGACGACCCTATTGAAATTCGGAAAATTTGATCAGATTTAGATATAGCTCCCTTATATTTTTCTTTCGATTTTATGTAACTTATCGACCAAAGTCCCTATACACCTTTCGATTTGCACGAAATTTGGCATAGCGTACTGAATTGATTCTAGAATGATGTGTCTTATGTTTCGTGAAAATCAGTTCAAATTTCGATATAGCTCACATATATTTTTGCCTCGAATTTAGGTTAATGGTGCACCAAAGCCTCTAAGTTTATTTTAATCTGCCTGAAATTACAAATGACGTACTGTATTAAGTTTACAATGATGTGTGCTAAGTTTCGTGAAAATTGGTTCAGAAAATCGGGTAAGATTTAGATGTAGCTCCCATATATATTTTCCTACCATTTTATGTTAATGCAGCACCAAAGCTTTTACATTTCTCTTGATTTGCAGGAAATTTCTCTTAGAGTTCTGAATTAAATCTAGAATGATGTGTTTTAAATTTCTTGAAAATCGGTTCAGATTTAGATATAGCTCCCATATATATTTTCGGACGATTTTGCAGGAAGGCATGTGTAAGAATTGATGTTTGTCGGTTCACTTATAGATAAAGATCGCATATTTATGTTCGTTCAATTTCATGTCAAAGTTCCGCCGAAAAGGCGACTTCTGTTACGATACATATGTAGACTATATCCATAGTGGTGGTGGTGTTGGCTATAATACTGCATTAATTTCTCTGAGTGTACAATTCACATTCTTGCTTTGTTCGAACAGTGTCTATGTCAAAGATTTCCAGATTGTCTGCATTATAGAACATGGAAACTGGTTTGTTACTGGTCTGCTTACAAAATTTCAATTCACATTGAATTGAAATAATCCGAATGAAAGAAAAAAATAGACTTTGCCACAAAACTCAACTACTCGACGACCATTAAATCATTCGTTACGAATACGGGTTGTGTGGCCGTCATCTTTCGAAAAAAACAACAACTAAAAAACGACAAAAAAACAACAACTAAACATGACAAGAAATAACAAGATATGCGGATGTTTGGGATCAGATTCGTTTTTTTTTCTTTTAATTTAATTTAAAATACCAAAAATAGAGACTCACTTTCATTTGAACACACATGCACACACACTCACACACATACATTTCCATTTAAATAACATAAAAACAACACTTAACGAAGACATTGATGATGGTGAGGTGATGATGGTGAGCACTAACTCTAATAGATATTACACATTTTATACATAACTATCATTAACATTTACAGGGAGGGACAGGCGGGCGGGCGGTCAGTAGGTTGGCTTTTGCTATTGATGAACCCCATCCATCATCTTCCGCTTCGAACTAATTGTTATGGTTATTGTAGACCGGTCGTATATCCAAAAAATCCAAACTTTCCTTCACCTTCTCCGTGTGATGGACGGTGTGATTGAGATTTGTGGGTGCCACATAACCCAGAGCTCGACCTCGCGGTGATATTACCAAATGGGCATAGGATTGTGAGGAACCCTGATAGGAGACCACAGAGGGCGCAGCATCAATGACCAGCGATTTCGAGGTGACCGGTTGACCCAGTGTGGTGAAGAGGACACAGCAGCACAGTAAGCCCACCAATGGTACTGTGAAATGATGCTGCTACAAATCGGTTTGGTATGAAGGTAATGTTCGTAGGAAATTTGGCCACCAAATAAAAATTAAAATTTTAAATTGTAATGAAAATGTATTGCTCCAGTCATATTAATTACATATTTATTTTCAATTTGACTTACATTGTTGTTCATGTTACTGTTGTTGGACAATTTGGTTGACTGGCTGGCTAGATGAAAGGATGGTTGGATGACTGAGTGGTTGCCTGGCTGGCTGCTTCGTTGTTTATGGTCTGAAAGAGCTCCACTCACTGAATGTTTAACGCCAATCCAAAACGAAAAAAAAAATTATTTAGTTTTTCTTATACTTTTTGTTGTTGTTGGATTTTTGTTAATGTTTAATAGCGGGTTATGGTTTTGTTTTTTTTTTGCGTTGCCATTGGAGTGGCAATTGCTAGGTTGGTTGGTTGATGTCTTGCCGGCTTGTTGATTTCGTTCACCGCTCTTAGCCAACTCAAGAGCACAGCGAACAGCTGCAGTGATCTATCTGCACTATGGGTTTGCTCGAAATTGAGTGATTTAGTTTTTCTTTTTTTGTTTTGAAAAATCTGGCAAGAAGCTAAGCTCCACTGGCGGCTTGTATGTGCACACAATTGCTCAGTTGCTTTATTTTTTTATTTATTTACGTAAACAATCAACAAAATATTACAGCAACAAAACATGCATGTGACAGAATACAAAAACAGAAATTGTTGTTGTTATGTTCACAAGCCAAAAGGTAACTTAAGAAACTTCATTCCATCAAGTTCCTCAGTCGATGGCACTCCTTCCTCCCTTCAATTTCCATTGCTGCTAAGCAATACAATCCCAGCCTACCTCCCTCCCTCCCTTCACCTTCCTCATTCAGCTTTTAAGTTGCCATTCAATAGACCCAACGAAACAATACTTGGCAATTGTTTCACATTTTTTTTTCTTCGCGCTCATGTTCATGCTGGTTTTTTGTTGTTGTTAAAATTATTTTTTTTTTTATAAAAAAAAACACATTAAAAAGTGAAGGTTGTACTAGTCGAGCAAACTGAATGACAGACAGATAGACCAGCTAATATTTGCTCAACGTTGTAAATTTTTTTTGTATTTAGGAATAAAAAAGGCACGGCTTATAAACTTTAAATTTTGTAAACACAACTTCGTACCTTTGCAAATATTATTGAAATTTGTATTTAGTTTCAAAACTGGAGATACTAGGCGACACAACGAAGGCCCTACACTATGCTACAGCTGCTTTGTTTGGATTTTTTTTAAATAATAAATGTGGATTTTTAAGAAATATTTTTTTCAAGTAGTAAAAATAGGCGTGGATTTTTTTAAGAAATATTTTTTCTAATAGTAAAAATAGGCGTGTTTTTTTACTACTTGATAAATATTTTTCAAAAAATCCACGCCTATTAAAAAAAAAAAAATATATATTTTGGAAGAACAGTTGGAGAATTGTTATACCCTACCCAACTATGTTGCCAGGGTATTATAACTTTGTGCAGCCCCAAGAGTTTGTAACTTCGCGAAATATTGGTCCTAGACCCACCTTTAAGTATACCGATCATATATCGACTGGCTGAGTCTATCTAGATATGTGTGTCCGTGTATTATAATTTGTAAACACGATACAGCCCACAGTTATGGGCCAATCTTCACGAAATTTTGCATGTAGAATGGATTCTGGCCAATGAAGATCCGTATTGGGTCTTCATCGGTTAATATTTAAGGGATGAAATGGACCAAATACTTAATTATACCCTTCACCACACTGCGGTAACAGGCAAAAAGAAACGAGATAGACACATGGTTCCTTTTGAGAATATGCATATAATCACTTTCTGAGTCGATTTATGCATGTCCGTCCGTCCGTCTGTCCGTGTCTGTAAATGTTAAATTGTAAAAAAAGTACAGGTCGCATTTATGATCCGATTTGGATTAAATTTGGCACAAGTCACGAATCAAGTCAAGGACGAATACCTATTGAAATTCAAGAAAATCGGTTCAGATTTAGATATAGCTCCCATATATAGTTTCGTCCGCTTGAAGGTAAATGGTGCACCAAAGTACCTAAATATCTTTCGATTTGCACGAAATTTGACACAGCGTTCTGAATTAGGTCTAGAATGATGTCTGTTCAGTTTCCTGAAAATCGGTCCATATTTAGATATAGCTCCCATATATATTTTCGTCCGATTTATTGTAAATGGCGTACCAAAGTCCCTATATATCATTCGATTTGCACGAAATTTGGAAAGTATTTAGGAATAAAAAAGGCACGGCTTATAAACTTTAAATTTTGTAAACACAACTTCGTACCTTTGCAAATATTATTGAAATTTGTATTTAGTTTCAAAACTGGAGATACTAGGCGACACAACGAAGGCCCTACACTATGCTACAGCTGCTTTGTTTGGATTTTTTTTAAATAATAAATGTGGATTTTTAAGAAATATTTTTTTCAAGTAGTAAAAATAGGCGTGGATTTTTTTAAGAAATATTTTTTCTAATAGTAAAAATAGGCGTGTTTTTTTACTACTTGATAAATATTTTTCAAAAAATCCACGCCTATTTAAAAAAATATATATATTTTCGAAGAACAGTTGGAGAATTGTTATACCCTACCCAACTATGTTGCCAGGGTATTATAACTTTGTGCAGCCCCAAGAGTTTGTAACTTCGCGAAATATTGGTCCTAGACCCACCTTTAAGTATACCGATCATATATCGACTGGCTGAGTCTATCTAGATATGTGTGTCCGTGTATTATAATTTGTAAACACGATACAGGCCACAGTTATGGGCCAATCTTCACGAAATTTTGCATGTAGAATGGATTCTGGCCAATGAAGATCCGTATTGGGTCTTCATCGGTTAATATTTAAGGGATGAAATGGACCAAATACTTAATTATACCCTTCACCACACTGCGGTAACAGGCAAAAAGAAACGAGATAGACACATGGTTCCTTTTGAGAATATGCATATAATCACTTTCTGAGTCGATTTATGCATGTCCGTCAGTCCGTCTGTAAATGTTAAATTGTAAAAAAAGTACAGGTCGCATTTATGATCCGATTTGGATTAAATTTGGCTCAAGTCACGAATCAAGTCAAGGACGAATACCTATTGAAATTCAAGAAAATCGGTTCAGATTTAGATATAGCTCCCATATATAGTTTCGTCCGCTTGAAGGTAAATGGTGCACCAAAGTACCTAAATATCTTTCGATTTGCACGAAATTTGACACAGCGTTCTGAATTAGGTCTAGAATGATGTCTGTTCAGTTTCCTGAAAATCGGTCCATATTTAGATATAGCTCCCATATATATTTTCGTCCGATTTATTGTAAATGGCGTACCAAAGTCCCTATATATCTTTCGATTTGCACGAAATTTGGCATAGCGTAATGAGTTAGGTGTAGAATGATGTGTGTTAAGTTTCCTAAAAATCGGTTCAGATTTATATATATAGTTAGTTCCCGTATATATTTTCGCACCAATGTTCCTATGTACCTTTCGGTTTGCACGAAATTTGCCACAACCTAATGAATTAGGTCGAGAATGATGTGTGTTAAGTTTCGAGAAAAATCTTCGAAATTTTTTTGAAATATTTTTTCGAAAATGCGACGTCTGTTAGGAGACTATGTAGAATATACCTAAAATGGTGAAGGGTATCATATAGTCGGCTCAGTCCGACTTTACTACTTTCCTTAATGGTTTTTGTCTGATTTTCTGGTCGCTTCAGAGGCCGCAATTATGGCCCAAACATCGCGAATTTTTACATGGAGAAGGGGATCGGCCCAAAGAATCAGGATGCCTTTTTTGATAAAGATCGGTCATTATTTAGCGACTTTTGTGTGAAAAATTACAAAATTTGCATTCTGTAGCGTATAGATTTACCCCTGAAGGACATAGACCCGAAAATTTGAAAATTTGATCCAAGTGATATGATTGACCTTTAATTTATGTCAGATTTTCTAGTCGCTCTAGAGGCCATTATTATATGCAGAACATCACATATTTTACACGGTGAAGGGGATCTGAACAATTACTTAGAGCGGTGTTTAGAAGATGATCGGTCAATATTCTGAGGGTCAAATGAACCACAACCTAAAGTGACCCACAGTTTTATTTTATGGATTAAATATTCACCTCGGGGAAAAAATGATTGGAAAATTTGCCAGGGTTAGAACGTGGAGCTGTTGATTTATTATCGGTTAATAGAGTAGAAATATCTCGAAATTTTGCTCAGGATCAGAGTATAGAACCGCAGAAATTATAGTTTGATGGAAGTTGTGTAGGGTTTCATATGGTCGGCCCCGTCCGACTATACTGCTCCCCTCACTGGTTTTAAAATATTTTTTTCGAATACCAGTCGTTTCAAGGACCAGCCGTAAAGGGTGAATTTAAAAAAAATCAAATTGGCAGCAAGGCGTGGATTAAAAAAATTTATCATTTCAACAAGGCGTAGAGATTTAATTTTTTTAAGACCAAAGCATGCATATACCCTACACAACAATGTTGTCAGGGTATTATAGCTTTGTGCAGCCCAAAGAGTTTGTAACGCCGTGAAATATTGGTCCTAGACCCACCTTTAAGTATACCGATCGTCATATCTCGTTTAGCTGAGTCGATCTAGACATGTGTGTCCGTCCGTCTGTCCATTATAATTTGTAAAAATGATACAGGTCACAGTTATGGACCAATCTTCACGAAATTTTGCATGTAGAATGGATTCTGGCCAATGAAGACCCCTATTGTTTTTGGTAAAAATCGGTTAATATTTAGGGGATGATATGGACCAAATAATTAATTTTTGTCTGCTTTTCTGGTCGTTCCAGAGGCCGCAATTATGGCTCAAACATCGCGAAATTTTACGCGGAGAAGGGGATCGGGCCAAAGAATAAACATGCATATTTTCATAAAGATCGGGCAATATTTAGCGGTTCAAATGGACCCTGACTTTTGGGTAAAAATTACAAATTTTGTATTCTATGGCGAATATATTTACTCCTGAAGGACATAGACCAGAGAAGTTGATAGCATATCCAAGAGGCGTGGTTGACCTTTAAATTGATACCAATTATATATTGTTGTATATAGTCGGATGCGGTAGTTACACTTAAATATTTACAGGCGTTTACGTATTCAGATATTATT